ATGGTGGCTCACAACCGTGTAAGCCACCACGGGTATCTTGACCCCCCCAAAAACTCCCAAAACGCGGATTTCGATATTTTTTAGGATTCTTTCATTCCAGGACCTCCTCAACTATTTTGAAGTTATTCCTAAGTGCGGTTGAGCAGTTATTTACTATAGATGACATCAAATTATCAAATCTTATCAGAAAACGCGGTGACAAAAGCCTATAAATAGAAGCCCAGGGTCTTCATTAGAGAGGATATAAAATCTGAGGGCGAGGTGCTGTTGAATTGAATAGTAAACCACGAATTTCGGAGGAGAATTGGTAGATCTTGGCGAACTTTTTCATAAAGAAAAAGCCTTCGAAAGATTTGAGATTCTCTCCCCCTCTTTCCTCCTGATCAAACTTTATTCTGATCTTGAGAAGAGCCACAATCTCGCTTGGTCGTGATTGTTGCTGCTGTGATTGTTTCTTTCGTGAAACAAGAGCATAATTAAACTTTTCAACCAGATCTGATCCGCGGCGGTCTACGGACTAACGCGTCTCCGGCACAGGCAAAGATCACATACAAAGCAATAGGAGATAAACTATTGTTGTGTTTTGTTTGACAAAGTTATAATCTTTAATTTTCATTATGTAAGAAGATCTTATAAAAAAGATTAAAATTTCTTTTAATTTGAACTTGTAATCGATAAACGGTGTAACAGGTTTGACAACAAAGAAAACGATAATTTTTTGTTAGACCCTAGAGGGGGATGATTAGGATCTTATGCTAATCTAATCCCAATTAAATACCAATTAAAAAATATATTGATCAATTAGTTCTTGCAAAAGATAGATATGAATAAGAACGATAAGAAAAAGCACAAAAGAAATATACGCTAAGAAAACACAAACATAAGATATGTTTACGAGGTTCGGTCCCCACGACCTACGTCCCCGCTCCTCACCTCGAGGAGATATCCACTATCACAATCCGGATTGGAAGCCGGAACTTCTACACACTCGGTTTACAAGCTTACCGAAAACTCTCACACAACAAACACTATGTAATCACACTTTACACACTAAGTGTAGGAACCTAGCCCGTGTCCTCCTCCTCAAGTGCTCGGATGCAACCTCTTTCTAGGTTCGTCAACCGACGTCACTCCTATTGGATTCGACCCCGTCTCTCGCCTCACACTTCTCTCGTTGTACAAGTGTATTACAAGTGATACTCACAATAAAAGATAAATACAATGATTTATTCTCAATAACAAATGAGAACATAATGAAGCTCACACTTACTAAATCACACCCCACAACCCACACTATATAGTATGAAAATATTAAGCTCAATATTGTGTGTGTGATAAATGAGAACAATGAAATTTAATTCAATTTAATATAGCAAGATATGAATATGAAATCGACAAATAAGCTATATAAAAGAGTTTAGATAAACTTCTCTATAAACACAAAGAACTGAAGAAATGATGATGAGGATGGATTCCTCAATTTGAATTCAAGGCTTCTTCTTTGTGAAAAACTGCTCTTTTGAAACAAGGCTTGAAAACAAGGCACTAAACACCTCTTAAACACTTTGTAAACTTAAGTAATCAATTCTCTTGGATAGTTTAAGTGTTGAATGCAGTAGGGTATTTATAACAACCCAATACATCAGTAAAAACCCAAGTAAAAAGACCAAAAACCCATTAGAAAACAAAACAGGGAACTAGTCGTTACTATGCAACGGCGACCGCAAATCCACGGCCGGTCGACCGCGAAAGGCTAAAACCCAGAGTAAGGTCTCTGGACAATTTGCGGTTGACCGCAGCGACACGCTCGGTCGACCGAAAACAGATATACATGAAAACTGCAGATTTGAAAATGGATTTTCAGTGCATGTAAAAGTTAGCAAATG